GGTTCTTCTTCTTCTTCTTCTTCTCTTTTTGGGGAAAAAAATCCTCACTTTACAGTTTTATTTCTTTTTTTAGGTTTAAAACTGTAAGATTTAAAAAAATCTCTTCCCTCTTCTCTTCCCCTCCTTTCTCACACACACATACAAACCCATTTCATCCATGATTCCATCTCTCTCTCTCTTTCTCATCTTAATAAATGTCCAAAAAACTCTCACGGTTTCGCATTCCATCAATATCAAATAACATTATATTGAAGATGTGAATGTGATCAGGCTGCGAACGTGATGTTGTCGTCTGCACAAAATCGAGGACTTGAGGGTGATGTTGTGTCGGTGTTTGTTACCACGTTTTTACCCTCGATCAAATCATTTTTGCCATTTGAGTGCAGTGTCCCTTTTTAACTTGATCCTTTTCGTTTTTTGTTTTTTCCTTCCACGGCTTACGAAATTATCAATAATACTACTAATAATAATAATATTTATTGACACGCCTCCATACATTTACAATACATTCGTAGGTAATAGTAAAGAAAAAAAAAAATTTCACCGCGTATATGTATTTACCTATCGAAGGAGACTCATTATTTATTTACATGTTTTCACTTTTTTTTTTTTTCGAAATAATTTTTTCCTGTATTTATTATTATTATTAATATTATTATTATCCTCCTTCCCGTTTTCTCTTTTATCATACCAAAAGTAAGATCCAGGAGGAATAAATTGTATAGATTACTCACGTAAAAAAAAAAAAAATCGTTTAAAAATGTTTTTATTACGTTACTAATATAAAAACATAATTATTGATTGTTGTTTGTTTTTGTTAAAAAAAAAAAAAAATTTTTTTTACGTGCAAACACATGCACACACACACACAATGATAGAAGTTTAATAATAATAATAAGAATAATTTTTTTTGTAAAATTACAACAAACAATGTAGTGGCACGTATACAGTTGTCACACACACACACACGTTAAATTAATGAATGAATTTTATTTATTATTTACGGTTAGAAAAAAAAAAAAGGTTTTCATCATTCATTTTGTTGTTGTTGTTGTTTTGATGCATATTTTGCGTTTTTTTTTTTGTTTAAAATTTTTTTTTTTTCGATTCGTGTACGTAAATAAATAAATAAATAAAACGTGAAATTTTAATAATAATAATAATTTTAAAATTTTAAAATTTTCCAGTTCGAATGATTTTCATCACTTTTATTTATTTATTTATTTTTTATTTTAATAATAAATTAATATCTATGTATGTACACATTATTAATAAATAAATAAATAATGCAATAACTCGGTTGCATTTAATAAAGTTCAAAAAAGAAGAGAAAATTTGCAATAATAATACATAGTTAGTTAGTTAGTTAGCTACTTGCAACAACATTAATGGCCCCCTTTTGTAAAGGTCAAAATCGTTTGTGGGCCTCCTCATCAAACGTAAAATAACCTCAGGCTGATTTATCAAATTTATTATCATCACCTTAACATGCCGTTATAAGAATGAAAAAAAAGAAAACTTTGTGAAAAGGTCTTTGAAAGAATTTATTTTTTTTTTTAAGCAATAATTTTCTCTTTGAAAAAAAAAAATTTTTGAAACTAGTGACACGTTAAAGTTCGTAATAAAACGGGTTAAACAAATTTTAAAATGGTAGAAGCGGAGGTGGCAGTCATTTTTTTTTTTCTATCTGTCGCAACTAGTGGAAGAAAAAAAAATTTTTTTTTTTTTTTCATTCACTTTCGAATTTTAATAATAATAATGATAAATAAATTCACGTGATTGGTCGATCGGAATATTTAGCAGGAAAAAAAAAATTTATTTTGCGAACGAAACAAAATTATTATCCGTTTCCGGTTGTTGTTGTTGTTGTTTTCGTAATTTTTTTTCTTATTTTAAATTCACGAATATATATTTTTAAAAAAATGATTTAAACACTTTAGGGCATTTTAAATTCGAAAAATAATTTTTTAGTAAAAGTAAAAGATTCTGAAATACCTGAACGTACTTTTTGAATGTCGCGAAACCTTAAAAACGATTTTGCAAAAAAAGAAAAAAGAAAAATCAAAATGTAAATAAATAAAATTTTTTTTAAATGGGGGGGGGGTAGGTAGCACACCTTTTTTTAAATTCCAAAAGTGTTGAGTGGGGCGTTGCCTCTCATTTATTGTGCTATTGCTAAATTTATGCAAAACTTAATGAATAGTTGTTGTTGTTGTTGTTGTTGTTGTTGTGACAATAATCCGACCTTCCATATAAATACATTGTTTTTTTTTTTATTACCGATATTCGAAAGACAGAAAGAAAGGTAATTTTCGAGTAAAAAAAATTTTTTTTTTCTTTAACTACATTAGAAAGTTTTTTTATTTTTTTATTCGGATTGTCGATTTTGTAAATAAAATAATAATTTATAACGGGCGCGAATTTACACACTATTGAGAAACTTTTAAAATATATATACGTACGTATGCACTCAAAACAAACAAACAAACGAACAACAAACATAAATTTTTATGACGGGTTTCAGTCGATTGATGACGAAAAAAAAAAAAAGGCGCTAAAACTCGTATATTGGATTATAACTGACGCAAAATTTTTATTTTATATACACTTTTTGAATCTTCTTCTGTTTACAAATTTTCTAATGCCACGTTTTTTAGATTTGATTTCAATGTTGAAAAATAAATGCGAAGAATCAACTTTGATTTCGTACATTAAATCAAATCATCGATATTACGTAACCGACACAATAAAAAAAAAAAAAAACAACGTAAATGAAGCTTTCAGTATCCTTTTTAACCTTTTTTTTTTACTCGTGTTACCTTATTAACCTCCTTTCCTCTCTCTCTCTCCTCCCCCCACTTCCCCGTTTTAACGTATGTAGAATAACGTATGTGTTTGAAACGATGAAAAGAAAAAAAAAAAAACTTAAGCAATAAACAAAGTTTTGGTCTTTTGAATTGCAAAATTTATTGTAAATATTTCGTCGTTGCGCCAAGTCGTTTTATGTAAATATTTTTGAGGTTTTCAGTTGTTGTTGTTGTTGTTGTTGGACAGTAAAGTGGTTTTAGAGTGACCCTTGATTCGGTTGGTTTAGTAGCCAGAACAATGGTAGTACCAGGCATTTTTTTTTTTTTTGTCAAATATTCAATGCGAAAAATGACCTAAAATGATAATCGTGATTTCTTTTTTTTTTTTGTAAAGTTATATATCCTAACGTATTTACAATTTCTCTCTCTCTCTCTCTCTCACGTATAATCAAAACTGATGAATTCGTGTCTTTTTTTTTTGTGTGTGTGTGTACAAAATAGCAAAAGTGTCACCACAAACTTTACTTTTACATTAGAAGGTTAAATTAATCGTTCACCCCTAATCACGTGGGTTTTTTGAATTGCCTGCACAAAAAAAAAACAAATTTATTTTTATTATCATTATCATTATTATTATTATTATTTTCGATTCGATTTTTGCTTTCACCTGTGGTGATTTTTACAACGTTGAGAGAATTTGCGGCGGTTTAATCCTTGTGAAATTTTTCTTTTTTTCATTCTTAACTACTTTGATTAAAATTTAAATTAATTTCTCTCTCTCTCTCTCTCTCTCTCTCTCTCTCTCTCTCTCTCTCTCTCTTTCTATCTCTTTGAAAATAGCAAATATTCTGACGTGTGCAAAAAAAAGAAAAAATAATAAAATATTCGAACGTGACGATGATAAAAAAAAATTACGTAATAATTATTATTAATATTTAATAATAATAAAATAAATATTTTAATTGTTAAAATTTATTTATTTATTTATTTTGGTTGTTGTTGTTGTTGTTGTTGTCGTTGTTTAAATTTAAAACAATTTTTCTATTTATAGACTTTAAATTAACGCAAAAAATAAATTTGATTGTTACGTAATTGATTTTTTTTTTTTTTTTTTTACGTAAGCTCACAATAATATTTACTTTTTGATTAATAATAATAATAATAATTATAAAACTAATAAACGAAAAAGAAAGAAAGAAGAATAAAAGAAAACATCATTATTAATAATAGATTTTTTTTATTTTTGTTTTGTTTGTTTGTTTGTTTGTTTTGTTGTCTTCTTATTCGCATATTTAAATAAATGCATATTGTAAAATTTATCCCTATTGAATCAACGCTTTTGTATGCGAAGGTATTAATTAATTTTTTTTTTTTAAACAACATTCGATTCGATACGATTCGATACGATACGATACGATACGACGTCATCATCATAGTAGTGTAGTCTCACTCACTACCTCGTGATGGAAAAAGTAACAAAAAATTTTTTTTTTATGATGCAAACAAAGTTTTGTAAACGACGATGGTAAAAAATAAGCAACTTGTGTAAATTAAAAGATGATGTCAGACGAACGAGGAAGTTTTTTTTCTTTTTTTTTTTGTGGACTTTTAAGTTTTGAGAAATCGTTTTTTTTTTTAAACTCATTGATTGACAAATCTTAAAGATCAAATAATAATAAAAAAAAACAAATTTTTAATTATTATTATTATTATTATTATTACTCCAATACTATCGACAACGAAACGGTTTTTTCCCAAAATAAAAAATAAAAAAATAAAAAATAGGGAAATAAATGCATATTTTACATTCCTCATGTAAAAAAGATTTTTTTTTTTTTTTTATCGTTAAAGAATAATAATAGTTGATTGAATGATGAGATGAGATTTGAATACGAAAAATAATAATAATAATAATAATAAAATGTCGCCAAAAATTAACATTTAGACATTGAAACGGGAAGGAGAGGAAAAAAAATACCGACGATGACGTTAAGAGTAATACAGAAACAATAACAAATGACGTCACTAATACGTAAACGTTTTTTTTTTTTATTTCAGTCGAAAGCACGATTGTTATTATATAATAATAATAATAATAATAATAATAATTTTTTTTTGTCAACAGAGGTCCACAAATGAGAAGTGGTTTCCAATGGGGCTTTAAGGGCTCGCCCAAAATTTTTCATAATAATAATGATCAAGTGGTTATCGGGATCAAGATTGAAGACTCTTACAGAAAACGAATCTCCTTCGCCGTATACAAACGATCCATTAGCTGTGATAACAGGAATCGGTCCAGGTGATGGAAAATGTCACATATATTCCGTTAGCAGGTAAAAATTATTTTCATTTGTCTCGCTACTATTACTACCACTACTACAAACTATTCTTTTCGTTACAATTTAAACAAACGTGACTCACTTACCTAACTAACCAAATTTACGAACAAGTGTTTGTTTTGCAAGTATCGAATTCTTTTCCAAAGAAGAATTTAGAGAGTGGGTTTAAAAAATTCGAAAGGACGGGGATTAAAAATTTATTAATTATTATATTGCTACCACCATTAAAATATCCAACAACAACAACAACAACAACATGAGTACGTGATTTAAACGAACGTGTTTTTTTTTAAATGGAAATTTTCCTTTTTTTTTGTTTAAGTGAAATCTTTGATGACGTTATTACGTGACCATCCTTCTAACATTTTATTGTTGAAATAAATTTTTTTTTTAAAATAAATATCAGAATGGACGACAAACCCTTTTTTCTCTTTCGACCTTTTGAAATTTTTCATCCCTAAGGGAAGAAAGGAAATAATAATAATAAGAGTATCGCGGGAAAAAGCGTCGTAAAATTTGCCACCACCAAACGATGGCGACCAAGGATAATGAAGCCAATTTAAAATTTGCCAAGTTCACACCTTGAACGTTTTTTTTTTCTGATTATTTCCATGATAAGTATAAGTGTTTGGAGGTTTTGGAAGTGTCCAACACGATATGCACATAAAAAAAATTTATGATGACGCCTAAAAACGTCTTCCTAATTTTTTATTTAATGACGTAATAATAAATAACAAAAAAATTATTGAATTGTTTTTTTGTGACACTTGTTAAAAATTTGTTTTATTTTTTAAAATTATTTTGCGCAAATTTTACGTTTTCAATTTATCAAAATTCCCGATATTTAATTGTATGTTGTTTTTTATTTCGTGTTCTTCAACGTCTTTTTTTTTATAACTTCTGTTTTGTTTTAAACGTTTACATAATTAACAGGACTGACATACAATTTAACACGCTAAATGGATAAAAAAAATATAAACGTTGTCTTCTGCTTCATCGAACCGCTCACGAGATTCGCCCTTTTTACGAGCACTAATTATATACATATTTAAAACGAAAAAAATTTTTTTCAGTTTTAAAATATTCATATTTAATGGTGCAATAACCATTTTGAAAAAAAATATATATTCATTGTTCATTCACGTTGTAAATGAGGGCGAACGTAATTTACACGTTACCTTATCAGGGCATCGCGAAGAGCGTCATCATCATCATCATCATCATCATCATTACTCCCCTTTGATTCGTGTTATTATTCCATGAAACTTATCGGGTATCCCTGCTTTATTTTTTGCTTTCTCGTTTTTACTTTTTTTTATTATTATGAGATTCATTTGATAATTTTTTTTTTTTTTAAATCGTTTCAAGGTGGTACGTTTTCAACTTAGGATTGTTAACTTTTTTTTTTTTTTTTGTTATCATGAGCATTGTTTTAAATGAAAATAATTTGCTTCTGTGAAATATAGTTTTTTTTTTTTTTCGATTGATAAAGTTGCAAAATTGCGGAAGTTTTATTATGAAAGTGATTAAAAATTTAAAAAAAAAAAAAAATTTATATAAATGTGTGTTAACTTGACGACGATTGCCCAAAACAAAAAAAAAAATTTGAATTTTTTTTTTTTTTATTTATCATCTTCGTGATAAAACGTTAATTTTTTTTTTTTTTATGTAAAATATTTCAAATTCGCCGCATAATAATAATAATTTTTCAATAATAATAATTTTTCAATAATAATAATTTTTAATTTCAGAGTCAATCCACTTTTCAAAGAAGAAAATAATATAGATTTAACATTGAAAGCTCACTCCGATGAAAGTTCCGATCAGAGATTATCCCCTAGGAAATCCATCAGTTCCGGATATGAAAGTAGATTCAATTCATCATCAGATAGTAGCAGTTGTACGGAATGCGATGATAAACACTTCAAAAAACCCATTGCCTCGGTGAAAAGAGAAAAAAGATTGACGAAACAAAGTAAAACCGAGAAAAAAAAAAGAGGAGATTACGATAAATGGGAAAACGTTTCCTCTAATCAGATATACGAAGAAGAAGAACAAGAAAAAAATAATTCGTCCAATCTTAAACGTAGATCGAGAAGAATTAAAAATGGTACTACCACGGGTCCTCCTTCCAATCTTAGTCCGATTCCCGAGGGAAAAGTCGATTGCTCAATACCTCCACCCATATGGCCAAGAGTTAAAAACGATGCTACGAAAATTAACGACGATGTTTGCGTGGATATCGAAGAACGACCTAGCAGAACATACCATAATGGTACCACGAATCCCGTTAATTTTATATTTAAATACAACGAAAGGTACCCAACGGGTCGTTATGAAAGAACTAGAATGTTTGAAAAACATTGCTTCGGTAAAAAAACAAATTTCTCAAATGGATTCTCTTCGATAAAAACGGAATACGAACATAATTGGGTGGAATGTTGCCAAAATCAGTGTGGGGGTCCGAGTTGTTTTCAAGATATCGAAGATAGCGATAAAAACGTTATTAAAATATTACATTCGGAAAATTCATTGGAAAACCTACCGAGGATTAGTAAAAACGAACTCGCCGAAGAAGTACTTAGAGATTTAGCAAATTTAATTGCGTTTGCCATGAGCAGTAGAAATTCACTCTCGCTCGGAAATCTATTGAAAAGTTTAGCGGATTCAATTCAAAAAAGTTTAGATGCTTTTTCCCAAGCCAAAACGGACGAAGATTTAAGGATTTTATCGGAAAATTTACACAGGAATAAATACCTGAGTAAAATTTTATCCGCTTTATTAAATCACGAAGGCATACAAAATATTTTCATACCCAGATCGAACGACGATTACGATGATGATAAAAACGAAATCGAATCATCCGGAACAAGTCGAGATTTGGAAAAATATACTAAAAAAAAATCTATAAGAAAATCAAATCAAGAATTAAATTCTTATAAATTAAATAGTTCTAAAGATGATATTTATAGTAGCGGTAGCGAGGGGAAAAACAGTACATCATCCAGCAGCGGTTGCAAAGACCTTTACATGAGTAGCAATAGCAGTAGTAGTGCCGGTAAAGATAACGTATTTAGTGCTAGTAGTAGTTCGGATTCGACCGTCGATAGGGATAAACCGGACGATCCTTCTTCTCCCGAAATCGTCAAAAAAGAAACAGAAAAAGAAGGAAAATGTCCGGGGGATGATGATGATGATAATATTTTGAAAAGAATTCATCACGAGCACGATTTTTCATCATCGTCGGGTGAAAGTGCTTTCGGTTCATCGGATATATCACCTCCGCCATCGGATTCCTCTTCGGCTAAAGACATATTAAACCCGGTGTTCCTCCACGAGGATATATACAGTGTTCCAAAAAGCATGAGAAATGCAATTATCGGAAAAAGTTTGGGTGGTAGAACTAAAAACGCGGATTGTGATTCGGTTCGAAATTGTGGGAGCAGTGCTTTTGAAAAATTAATAAGCGCAAAAAGGAAAACGAGTCATGATAGTTGTCAATTGGACGACATTGGTCCGTTATCGTCTTACATAGACGAAGGAAAAACTCGACTCTCGACAGCGATAACATCCGCCAAAGTTGACAACACCATTTTAAAGAAAGTTGAACATCCATATTACGTAAGTCCTTACCATTATTATTATTATTTTTCTTTTATTCAATTACATAAATTCCGGTGTGGTTTTCGAGTTAAATATCCTAAGATAGATAAGTACGTGTATGTACCGGGTTAATGGCGTGTACGACAATTTTTGTTTCGTTTTTTTTTCCTAAAAAAATTCCACTAGTATTATTATTATTATTATGAAAGAGTAATGAATTTAACATAACTTTCGTGCTCGTAATTGCTAGAAAAATAAGTTAAAAGTCGGTTATTATATTTCGGTTAATTAAATATTTAATAACAAAACTAACTATTTACGATTATTGAGATAAAAATATTATTAAATTTTAAAAAAAAAAAAAATCGAACGGTGTTAACGCGTTGTGCTAAATTTACTGGACAAGAAATTGAGCAAGTGAAAATTGACGGAGATTTTTTTCAACATTTACGTATTGAGTAGTCCAGTTACCACACACTTTATCTGATTCATATGAGTTATTAGAGCTCATTGGAATGCGAAATGCAATACTTGTACTCGTACCTGGTCTCCCGTACCTGGTTTCCCGTACCTGGTCTCCGTCCGTGATCGGTATCCGTCCGTACCCGGTATCCGGCTGGACGGATTTTATCCATGAATTGATTTTTTTTTTTTTTTTTCTTTTTTTCAAACGTCTGGCCTTGGTATTTCGTCATTTATTCGTTTTTCGTAATAAAAAAATTCGCGTTTTGTTTTTAAAAAATTAATTTTTAAGAATTTGTCGTGTACGCGGTTAAATTAAAAGTGGTTTTAGACAAATGGGGGGGGGAAGGTGGTTTTCGACATTTTTTTTACGGTTTAAATGAAATTTTCTGCCGCTCAAAATGAAATTCAGTCGAGGAAAAAAAAAAAAAGTGAAATTTTTTTTTACGTTTACGCACGTGCGTGAACTCTCGTCCGATTTCGCACACGCACATTATTATTATTATTATTATTATTTATAAATCGAACACTTTGATTTGTCGTGTGCTAAATTAAACTTGTTTTAAAGAAAGTTTTTAATAATTTGTTTTTCCGTCATCATCGTTGTTGTCGTCGTTGTCGTCGTCGCACGCGTCACACACACACACACACAAAATTAATTACGCACATTCGTACGCAAAATAATAATAATAATAATAATAATAATAATAATAATAATAATAATTTTTTTCGCTTTATTCAATTTAATATTCGTATATGGATGGTTATGTCGCGCGCGTTCTCGTTTTATCCCATTATGACGTTGACACACGCACACGCACACGCATACAAAAAAATTATTATTTTTAATTATTATTATTATTATTATTATTTTTTTTTTTCTCTCTCTCTCTCTCTCTCTTCAACGGTTTTTATTTTGATTGATTGACATGGAAAGGAAAAAAAAAAGTTCACCGGAAGTTCAAACTTGACAATTACGTTACGTTTCCAAATTATTTATTATTACTAATGAAATTTGAAGTTACCATCATTATTATTATTATTATTATCATTATCACAATCATTTTTTTTTTTTTTAAACAATTGAAAAACCATAAACGAAACGGATAATTTATTAAATTATTATTATTATTATTATTCAATAAGTTAAAATAATAATTTTTTTTTTTATTGAAGACATAATCAAAATTAACTATTATTATTATTAAATTTTGAACGTTTTATTTTTATCGCATTTTTTTTATTTTTACCGTTAAACTATTATTTAAAAAAAATGCAAACAACAAACGAACAAACAAACAAACAATACAATCAAAAAGAAGACAATTCCATTACCTTAATAGAAATTCTCTCTCTCTATAGAATTAATTCCGTTATAAAAAATTATAATTTCGTACCGTATACAAAAAAAATAGGAAATAATAATAATAATAATAAATGAATTTGATTAATGATACAAATCGAGAGCATTGAATTAATAATAATAATAATAATATTTATTTTATTCTTATTAACAAAATAAATAAATTAACTTAGGTGTTTTATACTTTTACGGTATAAAATTTATTTTTAGTAGTTCTTATTTCAATTCGATCGCAAATAAATAAATAAATAAATTCGACCGTTATTATCATTACTATTATTATTAATAAATAAATGAAACGCGAAAAAAAAAAAATTTAATAAAATTTATTTTAATGTGTTTTTTTTTTTTTTTTTTTTCGAAAAAAATTATTAATTATTAATCCATGAAAATATTACTATTATTATTATTATTAACGAATTTTTTTTTTATGTACGTTAATAAAATTATTGATCCGAGTCTATATTTACTTATTAATTATTATTATTATTATTACGGGGTAATATTTTGGCACGCGAATTAAATTTATTTAATTTTTTTGGAATCGATTTGTAACAATCGAAAAACAGACATGTTTATGAATAATATTAATAATAATAAAAATAATAATAATAATAATAATAATAATAATAATAATAATAATAATAATAATAGTGTTAAAAAGCTAGCAAACATTTTAATCTATTTAAACAATAATAATGATAATAAACTATTTATTTATTTATTCGTGCACGTGTATATATTAACAATTGGGACAGGCTTTATATTGCAAAATTTAATCGAGTTTCAGCTTTTAAATTGAAAAAAAAAAAAATGGAGTTTACATTTAATTAAAAATTATTACGTAATAATAATAATAATTATATTAATCCCTTTTTTGGTAAATTTTGAGGGGGGCCAACACCACCACCACCACCGCGGTCGCCGCCGCCATTTTAACATTTAAAAAAAAAAAATTAACGTCATTATTATACACACGTACATTCCGAAATTTATTTATTTATTAATAACGCGCCATCTATTAATTATATATTATTATTATTATTATTATTATTATTATTATTATTATTATTATTATTATTATTTGTACATATTATGTAAATATTAACGAGTATATCATTTTTCAATAGAGTTCATTGTCTTTAACCCCAATAACAATAATTTTTTTTTTTTTTTTGATAGTCGTTAATGTTTTAACCCCAACGAGTCATTGACAAATAAATAAATAAATAAACAAATAAATAAATCAATTAATTAATTAATTAAATTTATATATCGGTCATCTTACATAAAAAAAATAAAATTTTATTAAATGAGAGAGAGAGAGAGACAAGACGCGAAAACGGTTTATTAACGGTACATTAAAAAAAAAAAAATTGTAATTAATTAACTTTTTAAAATTATTATTTATGTTGTTATTAATAATAATAATAATAATGATGTTGATGATGATGATAACGATACATAAACTCGTTTCTTCTTCTTCTTCTTTTTTTGTTCTTATTTTTTTGCATAATATTACTAATTAATTTAATGACCCGACGATCGGTTTCACAATAATAAAAAAACTTTGACGAAATTTTTATTTATTTATTTTAATAATAATAATGATAATAATGATAATAATTTTAATAGATTGTACGTAATGTGGATCGCGCGAGGAGGGGTTGTTAAAATTTATTTAAATTTTACGAAAAAAAGAAAAAAAAACTTTCATTTTTATTACTGAACACATAAAATCTTATTAATTTTTATCTATTAATTTATTTATTTAAATCATTTGTTAATTTAGTTATTTATTAACTTTTTATTACCCCCCCACCCCACCCGTGAAATCGGCCCCGTCGGCTATTTTATTACTCTCTCTTTCTCTCTCTTTTTTTGATTATTATTATTATTTATCCTGCTGTTATCTATCCGTTCATTATTATTATTATTATTATTATTATTATTATTATTATTATTATTATTATTATTATTATTATTATTATTATTATTATTATTATTATTATTATTATTATTATTATTATTATTATTATTATTATTATTATTATTATTATTATTATTATTATTATTATTATTATTATTATTATTATTATTATTATTATTATTATTATTATTATTATTATTATTATTATTATTATTATTATTATTATTGGTATTACCAGTTGGAAACGTTTAACGATTTTTATTTTATTTACCTATTAACCTAAATAATACATATATATGTATAGGTATTAATAGTTATGATAATGATAATAATAATAATAATGATTTAAAAAACCGATCGATACGTTAATCCCATAAAATTTTTTTTTTCCCATTCATTCATTTGGGATTATAAATTTAATACGTTAAAAAAAAAAAAATTTTATTTCACGGGGGGATGTTAGGGGGGCGAGTCCATAGAGGAAAGGGGAGGAGTCATCGATGACGTAAATAATATTCGTTAAGGGAAATAAATAATAATTTATTTTTGATTGTAAAGTTAAAAAACAAATCGTAAATAACCCGATTATGATAATAAATAAGTGAATAAATACAAATTTATAATTTTTTTAGGGGGGTAGGAAGGGAGAGGGAGGTGTAGAGAAGGAGGAGGAGGAGAAGGGGTGAAGGAATTTTTTTAAAATAATTTTTTTACGATTGCGTAAAGACGTGACTTTTATATTAAATCGTCGGTTTTTTATTACACTAAAAATTAATCAATAAATTATTCGAGGGGGTAGGGGGTGGGAAATTAATTAGAAAAAAAAGCAGAAGACATTTTTAATTTTACAAACGAATTTCTTTTCATTATTATTATTATTATTATTATTATTATTATTACTATTAAAAAGAAAGTTAATTTTTTTTTTTATTGCGATGAATATATATGGACGGACGGACGATACTTTGCGGTAACTATAAAAAATTTTAAAAAGTAGCAAAAGGGAAAAAAATATAAAATAATAATAATAATAATAATAATAATAATAATAATAATAATAATAATAATAATAATGATAATAATAATAATGATAATAATAATAATAGTAGTAGTAGTAGTTTTATTAAGTCAAAAGGGAAAGAGAACGAAATCATAAAAAAAAATAAAAAAATAAAAAACTCTCACTTTTATTATTGTTATGATGTGACTTTAAAATGAAAATCGAATTTATTTGGTTCGATTAATCGATTAATCGAATAATTAATCTCGATTTTTTCCTATTTTTTTGTCAAAAAAAAAAAAACAGTACAAAAGGTTTAAATTTCTCGTTGATTTTTCAAGGTTCTTAGAAAAAAAAAAAATTTTTTTTAATTCAAACATAAAAACGCGGAAAAAATAAAATAATAATAATAATAAAAAAAATAAAGACAAAGTTAAACAAAATTTAAATTCTTAAATTTTTTTTTTTTTTTTTTTGTTAGCATTAATTATTGATTTTTCAAAAAAGA